CTGCTGTGAGCCCAAGGGCCGGGAGGGGAAGGGGGGGTCCCCACCATTGCCCGCCCAGGAGCTGCCCCACGGGGAATGGCAGAAGAACCGAAGACCCCAGCCAAGTGTTTTGAGGGTCTGGGTGGGTTCCACATCTCCCAGGGCCGAGGGCAGAACCTGCTCAGGAGAAGCTTTGAGAACTGAAGAGGTGGGCAAGGGACCTGCAGGGGTGAGCCCTCCTCAAAGCAGCCCCCCAGAATGTTTATCGAGCCCCTTTTTCATACCCCCTGTCCCCAAACAGCGAGGGACAAAAGCACACTGACACCCCAGGTTCATCCCTGGGAGCAGGATGAGCCACCCCGCTCCTTCCTCCGGCCTCGCACTCGACCACAGCATTTGCATGAAAATTCACGTTGGCTGCGGGTTTTGTTCTGCTCCAAAAGCAAAATTACTTTTTTGAGACCCAAATATTTTCCCAGCATAGGGAGAAGGCCACGGGCAAGGGCTGACAGCAATTCCCAGCTCGGAGCGGGATGGCGAGTCTTTGCATCACAATGAAGGATTCTGCTCCACCCTCCATCACTTGAAAATAATGAATCCAGTTTCATGATTTCTTCCTCCCAAGGTTACGCTGGTCTGGTCTTTTTCCTCGTTGCTGGTGATTAACATCTGGGCCCTCCAAAGAAGGGGCTGAAAAACTCCTCCCGGGAGCGCTGTGCCTTGCACCCTCGTGCAGGGGCCACAGCAGTGTACTGATGTACAGGATGGGTTACTGATCTATACAACAGCTCACTGCTGTATACGACACATGCTTTTCATGGAAACACCCAACAGCAAGATGTTAGCATTAATGCTGCCCAGTTAACTGGACACTTTCCTCACTTTTTTGATTAAACGAAGGTTTTTAAATGCTATTGTAGAGGCTGCGTGGAATTATTTTCCACTAAATCAATATCAATGTGTGCACAGCATGTAGAGAGGAAATACACAAACAGGTATTGGAAATAAACCACTTGCTGCTGCTCAGACTTTCTAAAGCCACTTTATAAAGCAAATAAAAATATTTACTGATTTGGTACACTCACATGGAAAATCCCTAGAAAGAGTGCTAAAAATGAATGGAAACTCCGTACTTGGCAGCTATTTTAAATTATATATCAAAACAGACAAATATACCTCCCGTGCTTGTTCATGTTACAATAGCAAAGTCAAAAACAGGCACAAGTTGTAAAAAGTTGAAATCTTTTACTTCAAGGTCCAAAAAAATCTCCTCTCTCTGTGAGAAATTCAAG